GCTCTGCCGAGCCTCAGTACCCGGGAGCTGGCGCTGGCGGCGGCGGCGGCGGCGGCGGCGGTGAAGGAAGTTTCCGCTTTGCACTCCACCCCGGTTGCGGCTTCGCTGCGGGGACAGCTTCCAGCAGACGCTCGGTGGGCATCGCTGCCGCCCCAGGTCAACTCAGGCGGGTCATGGGGTGGCCCAAGGGGCAGGAGGGCCAGGGTGTCCCTGAGGTAAGGATCTCTGTCTGCTGACACGCAGGGGTTCCTGAGGCGAGGCCGAGCGGGGGAGGGGGCGGGCAGAGAGGGGTCCGAGGTGCCTTGGGGTGACGGGTCCCCTTCCTCAGGTGTGTCCACCGCGGGGAAACACCCCACACACACACCAAGGCGGAGGGAGGGCGCGGGCCCCTGCGTAGGAGGGCAGCGGGCGGCTGGGGGCAATGGGGCCGCCCAAGCCGGAGTCACGAGAGGTGCGCGCCTGGACTGTGCCGCCTCAGATCGTGCGGAGGGCGGTGACCTTGGACCGCCTACCTCCTCTCTCCGGGTCCGCGGGGCTCCGGGGGCCAGCCCTACCTGCCCTCGGTCTCCAAGGGGTGCCGTGTTGTCGCTGCGTTTACCTCCAAGGGCTGGGGCGTCAGGAGGAAGTTTGGGAGGCGGGCGCGCGCTGGGGTGGTGCAGAGTGGGGACTCGCTGTTCTGTGGCACGGAGGAGATGGAGCCCTGGGCGCAAATTTGCTGCTTTGCCAGACGACATAAGTCTCTTCCCCAAAGTGTTCTTAGTAAGTACTCGGTCCCAGGGACGGGATTATCAGTGGTTTCTAGGTTTCCAGGTTGTCTGGGAGATAAAAGCGAAAGAGCATTCTTTTTCTTTTGGTTGCAAATATCACTTAACTAGGTAAGTTTGTATCAATCTTCTCTTCTAGTTTATTTACTTAAGAGCTAGTCTGATTTATTAGATTCGGGAGAGCAATGGAATCCACCAGCGCCGCATCCCTATCCCTGACTGAAGTTCTGAAGTAGATGTTTGGCGAGATCTCTAGACACTGACCTTTTTGTCCGTGCCCCTCCCAGATCTTCATTTCTTTCTCCCTAAAATTGAGGAATCGTTGTGTTTTGTACCAAGGTGGGTATATATAATGAGGCAAGGACTGGCAGAGCCATCAGTGTATTCCCACAAGGCAAATCCGTTGTCTTGTAAACATGCACCACCACACTGCCTTTATTTTATGGGAGATTGTGAGGAGTGAGATCTCTTCTGTGATATTTTAAATACTCCTTTTTTGCTCCTTTTTAATTCTAGGTTCATCGAGTTTTTACCTGGCCTTTTGCTGTACACTGTCAGATCTCTCAGGTCCTACTTTAAATCCTCCAGTGCAGTATCCCACAGTGCTGTAAATGGTGGTAGTCCAGGGGTGGTCTTTCTAAGCAAACAGCCTGCTAGGATCCTTCACTTACTGCTAGGAGGCTGAGTCTACTCCCGACCCCCCCCCCC